TAAAACTCTTTTTCATTCTACAAACAACACCATCACTTGACAAGACATCAGAAGTGTTGAAACAAAATGACTATTTTTTGTAGTGATGTTATAACATCTTTATGCTATAATTTAATTAATAAACACTATATATATATATATATATATATATATATATATATATATATATATATATATATACTAGCAGTAGAGCCTGGCGTTGCCCAGGGATGTAACAGTAAGAGATAGATCAAGTATCGACCATCATCATAAAGACTGAAAATAAAATTGACAAAGATTATTGTTTAAGGTTGACGGGCACGTATGTCTTAATTACTTTGTTTGTTTGTTTTTTTTAAACCAATTCTCAAACCAAAACTCAAACAAAATTGTTTTCAATCGTTATGAGTCTACCGATTGAAGAGAATTTTTATTTTATAAACAATTGTCTTGTAAATGGAATTTTAAAGCATTCTGAATGTAAAAATAAAGAAAATTTTGCAAGACAATAAGAAACACTACCTACAAAATAAAGTGAAGTTTTGTTGAAATCGGTTGAAAAATGTAGGAAATCCGATCCCATATATAAACGAACACAGACACACACACACACAAACAACCTGGGTTTTATAAGTATAACTCGATATGTTGTCCCCCTTTCATTCTCGCGATGCCTCTTAATCGTGTTTTCAAATTGATTTTGTGCAAAAAACAATTGTGTTTTTTACAATTTTGGCGCTGTCAGAACCACCACTTTTGTAATTTTACGTAGTCCTGTGAAGTTTTGTTGAAATCGGTTGAAAAATGTAGGAAATCCGATCCAATATATAAACGTACAGACACACACACAACCTAGGTTTTATAATAAGTATGATGTATGTGTGTGTGTGTGTGTGTGTGTGTGTGTGTGTTTATATTATTTTGTTGATAATTATATAAGGCTTCCTAATGTACGTTATATAAACTTAATAGAATGCCACTTTCGTTCCTATGATGACATTTATTATCTTTTAAAAAAGAACGTCTTCATTTCCAATTAATTGCAAACATCTGCGCCGCACTTTCCCGTACGAAAACTTACTAATTAGCGCCATTCTTATTTGTTTTTGCAGAGGAAGCGAATCAAGACAAAGTCTCCAAAGGTAAACACGAAATCTCTTTATTTTATAAACTATAATCTTCATATTTTTTTTCAACAGAAACGACAAAATAATTGTTACGAGATGAAAAAATATGTACAATTGACTGACGACTGCATTCTGTTATTTCCACAGCCAAAAGTATATATTCTTCTTGATATTCCTTGTTAGTGAACTATCGATAGAGAAGATGACATGCCTTGAGAATAAACGTGAATAGACTTTGATTTGCTATACCCCTTTGATGAATGCACAGTCTAGATAATATTTTTGGGATCTTTTTTTTTCTTACTTGACAATCTAACATCTTCCTGCATCGTCATGTGAAAATGGGTAACTTACCAGAGTTTAACCCGAAAACACCATAATCACAGTTCTCGTTTCATGATTCTTCAGAACTTTTCTTTTGTTGTTGTTGCTTTTCGCACTACTAATTCTTTTGCAACCCCACTGAGAAAAAAAAATCTACCGATCGGCAGGGTTCGAACCTGTGTCTTCCTTTATATGCCTTATATAGGAGAATCCAATGTATAACCAACAAGGAATTTTAATATGTACTCGAATTTGTCAATCATATTACCATTCTGTTTTTCCTGCTTCTCTCATGCCAAATTCTTTAAATATTCTTAATTCAAAAAGATCTGATAGTGTCTTTCCGGAAGGTTCAATCAGTCAGCAACATATCTTGGTTTGACCGCCAACTTATTGATCAGACTAAAATTATTCCATATAGCCTACAAGGCATTTACTATATGTTTGATAATTTACTAGGGCTACGTAAGAAATCTTGTGCATGGGATTATCTTTCCTGTTCGCTACGACAATGTCTTTCCTTAATCCCTCTTGAATACTGTATCTCAGTATTGGAGATATTTGCTATAACTTGAACTCCAGTGAATACCACAAACAATAATAATAATAATAATAATAATAATCGGAGCTTTGGGCCTCGTGAGAAAAGGAATGAACAATTTTACTAACAGTGTCCCAGGTAACATCAACAGGCTAAGTTGCCCAGATCTCCCTACTAGGAACCTCATATACTAAGAAAAGTTCTATCAATTAAATAACAATTCTCCTACCAGGGCTAGGGTCCATAGTTTGAACCCGGCTCTACAGGTTACAAAACAGAAAACATAACATACACAAATAATAATAATAATAATAATAAAAACCAACATACAATTATCATAAAAGACAAGAAATTCAGGAAGAGTATGCTCATTGACATCGCAGTAGCATTTAAGAAAAACACCTCCATGAAAAATATCGAGAAATTGTCCAAATACAGGGACCTGGGGATCGATATTAACAGGATGTTGGGAATGAAGACTGAGGCTGTACCAATAGTAATTGGAGCACTGGGACTCGTGAGAAAAGGAATGGATAATTTTACTAAAGGTAACGATATCTGTCAAAATTGAGTGTCACAAGAAAAATGTTTAATACTTTTGTTGTGGAGTATTTTCACAGTGGAGGCTTATATTTCTAATAAGTCGTACAAAACGTTAGGAACTTGGAAAATAATAGTCAATGACGCAGCAAATCTAGTTGTGATGGTTGGTACTTCAAATGTCCGAATCTGCTACTCCTACTTATTATCTATGGGAGAGTCCATTACCAAAGAATAGGTACCTAACAAACAACTTTATAAGCTCAAAGGATTTTATTTGGAAAGGCGGACAACCAAAGGAAAAACTTGAAAATGAAATTCTAACCCTAAACATGGCTGTCAGTGTTTTAAGATAATCAGAAAGTTACAAGAATTTGTCTGCCTGTTTCAAAATGCCAAGTGGCAGGTTTGGCGTGTAACATTTAAATTTGTCATGTGTTCGAGTCACATTAAGGACCTTTTACCGACACTAATTTAATATATATAAGTAGTTGTGAACTAATGTTGAGTAGAATATTTCGCTGTTAATTCTATCCTAAGTGGGTGTGCCACATTTTTGACATTGTGTCACATTCGGCTAATCTCGGAAAACAACATTATGAACGTTTGGAAGAAGCAAATAAGCAAATGAAAATATATCGTGAGTCATTCAGTGTTATGGCTGAAGGCAATCGATATTTTAAAGCGTTTTGCAGGCTTATAGAAGTAAAAGCGGATTCGAATGTCTTTTATCTTCAATACAATTCTTTGTTTGAGGTCGCAATTTCTCCTTCTTTGCCTTATCCATTATTATTATTATTATTATTATTATTGTTGTTGTTGCTGTTTAATTAAAACTCAGTCTGCACTTGTTCGTACATCCGAGCAAGTAAATATTTACAGAAATATTTTTAACATAATATGCGTAGTAACAACGTTAGACACGCACACTCACACAGACACACACATTGTATATTTGGGTAGCAACCCTTCTTTCAAACATGTTTCGTTGAATATGACATACAAGGAAAATTTTCTGAATTTTATTGAGTTTTTCTAATGGGCTTGAATTTTTTTTCGTTTGGTAGCGGAAAGTGAAAAATCTCTGTAGTGTCTATTGTCCCATGCGCTTTCGGACACTCATTTACCCATTTTGTAGGGGTTTGTTGTTACGTGTTGTTAATTTATTTTCATGGTTGTCTCTTTAAGATGCAATTCAGATCTGTCTCCCTCTCTCTCTCTCTCTCTCTCTCTATATATATATATATATATATATATATATATATAGAATGGACCCTTAAGGTTGTCTGTTTTCCATTTAAATTGAATTAATATATATATATATATATATATATATATATATATATAATATCAAAACATGTAAAATCGCTACAGAGTTGCCGTCGTGTTTCGATGCAAATCAATGCATCTCATCAGGCGATTATAAATTACTGGTGAATGAGATTTATTAGATTTAAAAGCAAAATACAACCTCTTTTTACGAAAAAAGAAAAAAGTGGTCGGTGTTATAAGGTTTGAGGGCTTTTCTCAGATCAACCAATTGAATATGACCAACGTTAAATTTAAACTAAGGGAAGAAGCAAAAATTATTTTTCATAAATGAGTCATCAGCCGTAGATTGGCAGTCAGGAGAGAAATATTAAATTGATGTATCCAATGCATAGGGTAATTTTGAACTTTGATAAAAAAAATGGATTCAACCATGAGTTTTTCATTTTCCTTCCACATACAACTAAAACAACTTTACAAGATATTACTTACCAAATATCAGGCAAAATGGCGAACATAAACTAGAGTTATAACAGAAAATAACATATATAACATATATCAATACTTATGTATATATATATATATATATATATATATATATATATATGAATGTCTATTATGTTTTGATCATAAGACGTTCTAAGCTTCGTATGGTTTATTTAATTTCAGGAGAAAAAAAAGACAATTTTTTTATTAAGCTGTTCCTTTTATCTATGTTTTCAAGCCATTTTAATGGTTATATGGACATTTAAACAAAGATATTCAACATCAAAGATGATATTCTAATATATATATATATATATATATATATATATATATATATATATATATATATATATGTGTGTATATATGTGTGTGTGTGTGTATAGATATTACGTCAAACGTTATTATAATGGACACTTCTTGTTTGAAATAGACGCCTCATCTTTATTTATTGACTGGTGCATTGGAGATTAGAACTCAGCAACGTCCAAACGACCTATTCAGTCGCCATACCTGCACATACACAATTTTTGACACACACACACACACACACACACATACACACACACATATATATATATATATATATATATATATATATATATATAATTATTTGTCATGTTTTGTGATTTTTAATTTAAATTTCAATCAATTCGAAACGTATTCATTAATATATCTTTTTATTTCTATATTTTATTTCTGGTCTCACGAAGCCACACATGCAAACACTGAATGTACTAGATAGATAGATAGATAGATAGATAGATAGATAGATAGATAGATAGATAGATAGATAGATAGATTTGAACAGACAAACATAGATAGATCTGAACAAACATAGATAGATAGAAACAGAAGATGGATAAATAGGAACAGAAAGAAAGAAAGAAAGAACACGCTGAGTCATTAAGATAGATAGATAGATAGATAGATAGATAGATAGATAGATAGATAGATAGATAGATAGATAGATCCTGGATCTTTGGAAGGCTTTTGCTATCTAGACAGTTTATGGTAAGGATATGAACAAATTTTAGATATATGTTTTTCTCATGTACACATTATGTTCTTATAAAATATTTTGTTTTCTTCAGATGTTAAGATGCACAAGCCGCATCAGAATCGCCCACATCAGAAAGGTAAATATTAATTAGAATCCTAAATTCACTACTCAGACTTTGGCCTTCAAATAGAAAAACTTCTTTTCCATTTTTGTTTTATGGGATTTTTTGGAGGAGATACGTGATATTTATGGAGAAAAAATTATAGAAGCCTCTCACGATAAGGAAATATACAATATTTGAAGTAATTAATTTTAAACACTTCTCATCTGCTAATATTTGTTTTTATAGCAGTTCATTAATATATTATTTGATTGATGCAAAAGTTCACATCGCCATTTCTTAGATAAGCTTAGATAGATTTTACAACTGTAATTTAACCCATTTCATATTGTTTGAGTAAAATTGGTAATTTTACTTCGTGTTTTGTGGATTTATGGTAGCATCTAAAGTATTCATTCAATATTATTTGCATTAGATGCCAACATACGGTTGAAGTTCCCCAAAAAACTTAATAATTTAAGCTTATGACAATAACACAGCAGATGTAAGCGTATGTCGAGAATGGATTGTTAAGTTTAAGAAAAGAGAGTTCGGGGAAAAAATCTGAAAGCACATTGAAAGACATAACAAGAGGTGAACTTTGAGGAAAACTGAATAAATTCAACCTGCAGATTCCAAATAATAAATGATCGCCTTAGATACTTCCAAATGTATTCTTCGGACATCACGCTTTCAGATTCTTCCAAATGAATTCTCCGGATAGATTTAGCCTTCATATTTTTGCATACGCATTCACCGGACATCACCACCTCAGAGGCTTCCAATCGCAATCTCCGGACATCTCGCCTTCTCATTCTTGCATACGCCTTCTACGGATATCTCGTCTTCAGATTCCTCCAACTGAATTCTCCGGGCATCTCGCCTTCACATTCTTCCAAACGCATTCTACGGATATCTCGCCTTCACATTCTTACAAACGCAATCTCCGGTCATCTTGCTTTCACATTCTTACAAATGAATTCTCCGGACATCTGGCCTTCTCATTCTTGCAAACGCCTTCTACGGATATCTCGTCTTCAGATTCCTCCAACTGAATTCTCCGGGCATCTCGCCTTCATAATCTTCCAAACACATTCTGCGGACATCTCGCCTTCAGATTCTTTCAAACGCATTGTCCGGATATCTCGCCCTCAGAGTCTTCCAAACGCATTGTCCGGACATCTCGCCTTCATAATCTTGCAAACGCATTCTGAGGACATCTCGCTTTCAGATTCTTCTGAATGCATTCTCCGGACATCTCGCCTTCAGATCCTTCTAAATGGGCATCTCGCCTTCAGATTCTTCCAAAAGTATTCTCTGTTCACATTCAGATACTTCAACACGTATTCTTTAGGCCTGTTGTCATTAGAATTTCATTTTATTAGTCCCATGCGACAGTTTTTTATGCAAACAATGGTTCCGACATATTAAAGATGTCTTCCTCAATGATTTCATCAAATCAGAAACGGGAATCTTTTTCTTGTAATAGCAAACAAAATATTAATTGCAATTGTGTTGTGAAATCAGGGAACAATGGAGAAGAATCGAGAACAATACATTTATTCTGAAGACGTTGCTATATTTAATAAATAAATTTTTTTTTTAAAGGAAAACCTTGAAACTTTTGCATCAACCTAATATTAACAAAAAATCTTATTTTTAACATTTAACAGTCTTCATTTACACATTCAGCGACATGTTTTTTATTGTTTTTTTTTTGAGGGTGAAGTGTGTAGCTCAGTAATAATACAATAGGTGTTCCTTAGATGAGAAACATCATTTGCTAAATTAGTCATTGTAGCGTGCAGAAGACAATATGCAGTCAAATCGCGAAATTCAAATGGGGGGCATCATGTAATCATGAGTTTTGCGTTAAACACACTTTCTTAGCACTCAAGTAATTAATTTGGAAAACTTTTTATTTTCCTTAGAATCTCAACAACTAGCTAATATTTTTAAACAAATATTTTATATTCTTCAGGTCATAAGGTGCACAAACTTAACCCACATCGCAAAGGTAAATTTTTGAAATTTTGATTAAACTTCTTCCTTCAGTATCTGTCTATATTTCAGAGATTAGGTATTATGTACACTATTTACATTATTCAGATGATTCTCCTCATCGTTGTCGCCATATTTATTACAACGTTTCGGCCGTTATGCGTTCCGGCCTTCTTCAGGTATTTGGAATGTCGAACTTAACCCTTTATTTCGCTCACTGGTCTAGGCTGTTCTAGTTCCACGTGTCATGTCTAATGGATGTCAGTTATCAGTTATCTCCTGTTAATTTCCCTCTGAAAGTTCTCCACTGCCTTAACCGGGTATTGAACTCATACTCTTTGGGTCCTGTCAATGGATCTAAATATAACGTAATTTTTTTTTATTGTTTTGAGCCAGATGTCCTTTAGGACATCTGTGTATAATTTCTGGGTATTATAAACTTAATTGTCTTTGGTAACATCCATTTTTTGTCCAGTGCTCATACTGCAATTAGATCAAACATAACCCAAAAGTTGTAGGTTCAAAAACAAAAATGGAAAACTTTGTAAATGGTAAAACTGGAGATAAAAACTTTTTTCCATTATATGAATAAACTAAACCTTTATACATGAATTTATTATAAAAATAGTTCGACATTGCAAACCACCTGTAGAAGGCGGGCGTTAAACAAAACCGTTGTAATTATGGCGACAAAAAGATTCTTTTAATAAAAATAATGTAAATAGTGTACAGCTTTCCTTTTATTAAGTTTGCTTTCAAATCAAATATCCTTATTTGTTGAATCATTTGTCAAGTATATATATATATATATATATATATATATATATATATATATATATTTTATTGTTCTTGTTTAATTAAATCTCTGTGGGCCTTTCAGCTTTCCTCAGGTCATCTTCATTTTATGTCCAATGTTCATTCAAAAACCACCGTTTAGCAGATTAAGCTGCGAAAGACCGTAAATACAATCATATTGAATTTGTACGCTCCGTCCTTCTTCAGGTGGTTGGAATGTCGAACTGTTCTAGTTCCACGCGCCATGTTTAATGGATGTCAGTTATCAGTTATCTCCTGTTAGTTCCCCTCTCCAAGTTCTCCACTGCCTTAACCGGGTATTGAATTCACACTCTTTGGGTGTTGTCACTGGATCTAACCAACCCCTTTATCCACTGTGCCATGTGTCCTTGAGGACAACCACCTGAAGCAAGCCGGCGCATACAAAAGTCAAAATGTTGTAATAAATATGGCAACAAATATGAGGACAATAGTCCGAATAATGTAAATAAAGTTTATCTAATGCAACATACACCAGACGATGGTCGGTGAGACGGTCGTCTATAATGTTGTTATTAAACTTACAAAGATGAGGATGTTAGCACGAATGAGATTACCGTTTGACAGAGAATAACATTGAGTTGCAAAAAGAAGAATTTTATATCCGACCAATTTTTTAATGGTTTGCTTAAAAATTTTTTTATTTTACGGCTCAACAATAAGGCCGACAAGATTTGCATTGCTGGTAATATTTTTTCCAAAAAGTATATCTGGTAATACATGGTGTCCATAAAGTTCGTGTGCACTTTAAAAAATTTATAACTTTATTTGTATTTGCGATAGAAATAATCTGTAAAAAATGTACCTAGTTTTAAGTATAGGTAAAATAACTAATGTGATTTCAGGCATTACTGTAAATCAGTTGGCAAATGTTTTCCGTCAACTCCAAAATCGTATTACCCTTTGTATTGCTAATGATGGAGGACATGTGGAAACTTAAATAAAATTTCAATAAAACCTTAAAAAATATAGATTTACTTCTTTCTAATCCTTTTTACAAATTATTTCTATCGCAAATACAAATAAAGTTATAAATTTATTTAAAGTGCACACGAACTTTATGAACACCCTGTATTTTTCCCAATTATTGCTGGTAATATTTTTTCTTCAAATATTGCATTCCTGATAATAATTTTTTCTTCGAAAAGTTATTGCTGGTAACATTTTCATAGTGCTTTGACCCCAATTTGGGGTTAACTACTTGCGCATAGCTAGGACCCTAACAGGTGCTACCACTCCGGGTCAGGGTGGACCTGAGGACACCAGCAATTAAGAGGTGGTTACACGCTCCTCAAAACCTCCTGATCAAAGGACGTGCTATCGGGCGTAGCTTATCGTCTTACCCAGGGCGCCCATTTTTTAACTTGAAAAACTGAAGAATAATTGACTATTTACATTGTTCGGACTGTTGTCTTCATCTTTATTACCATATTCACGACATTTCGGTCGTTGTACGCCTCGGCCTTCTTCATGCGATTGGAATTTCGAACTGAACCCTTTATTTCGTCCAAAAGACACATGGACCTGTGGATAAAAGCGTTGGTTGAATCCAGTGACATGACCCAAAGAGTTGTGAGTTCAACACGTGGCTACTGCAATGGTGAAGACAAACTTGGAGAGTTGAGTTAAAGGGAGATATTCGGAAGAGGCATGACACGTGGAACTAGAACAGTTTAACCCGGTGAGCGAAATAAATGCCCAGTTCGAAATTCCAATCACCTGAAGAAGACCGGAACCTATAACGTTCGAAACGTTGTGAATATGGCAACAAGGAAGAATGAAAATAGTATAAATAATTACAATACCTCATCCCAGAAATAAAGACAGATTATAATTGACTGGTATCAGCAATGAATTCTATATATATATATATATATATATATATATATATACATATATATATATACACACACACATTGTTATCGCATATTACATTCGAACATATATAAAACCATACATAAATGCATGCATATATATATATATATATATATATATATATATATATATATAGTTCTTTTCTGCTGGTATTGTTGAAT